TGGCCCCAACATATATATATAGTACTAGAATTAGGTACAGATCAAAATTTTTGTGCACGAGTTTGGTGTTGATATTTTGTAAAGAGGAGCAAAGCAGAATGGCTTTTTGTATGTGTATGGGAATGCATTTGAATATGTGTATCGTGGGGTCTTGGATTCCTGATAGAACCGAAGAATAAACAAGTGAAAAATGATGAGTTGAATGACCGGTGGACCCCCGAAATGTGCCGATTCCCACCGACCCCCACAGACACCGTTATGGTGGTTGACTTTGTTGGTACGTATTTAAAAGACAACAGAACTGACCATTTTGATTTTGCCACCGAAAGTTGAACTCTAACGTGTATAACCTCTATGATTATTGTTGCTACTGTACACATATTTAAGCCTCTATACTGTTTACCAAAAGAACAAAAAGGAAAAACAAAAGAAGGCCTCTAGATGATTTCACTGTTTGTTTTTTTGGTAGAAAAAGATTTGGATGGATTCGATTTCAATCACTATTATAGGTCTGGACATGCTCTTAGGACTATAGATCGAGGGTTCTTACAAATTGTTAAGTGGGACTATAAGTCGTTTATAGAATTTCTTACAAATTGCCTGTTTATGTAATTCTCATATTAGGAGTATGATTCGAACACATGACTTTTGTTATGAGGAAGTGATTCGTTCTTAGTAATTGAGTCAACTTGTGAAGTTGGCTCTCTGTTGTTCAATTACTTGAAGGCATCTATATGCAGAGAAAAAATGATCAAGAGTTTTTTAACTAGCCATTTTTTGGACAACGAAAAATGCATTTTTTCAAGTTCCAAAGATTTTATTGTAAGAGGTCCTTTTTGTATTTTTTTTTTAATATATACATTTAAAGAGGTATTGTGAAGCTTAACATGTTTCTAAGTAGTTCAATCATTAATTCTTCTTTAAAATCTTTTGGATTGAAGTAAAAGAAGCGATAAGGAAGAAGAAAAAGAAGAATACCGTGTTCGATTAATTGGTTCAAGTCCGAAATTGTTCATACAGTCATCCACTTTAGAAGCAGAATATTGGACCTATGATTCAGGGAATGTATTATATTGACATCTCGTTTATGCACTGTGCAAGATATTTCCTCAAAATGCATTAGAAAAGTTTGGAGTTTAGATCATTATGGAAAGGTACCAATCACAATGAGCTTCATGAACCAAAGAAGAAAATCAGTCTCATACAAATCATTGACATTAAAAAGAACCAAGGAGTCGACTTATCAAATAAAATGCTTATCTTAGAAGAAAGAAAATCATATAGAAAAATCTGTATGGGCTTATCTGGAATAAAGAAGGGCATTCGATGTAGACGCACCTTATACCTTCTCATACATTGATTTTTTTTCTTGATTTCCCAATTGTTTACACATTAAAGAAATTTGGGAGAATGGGATGTCAATACTGCTTTTGAAGCTACTAAACAAATGCATACTTAAAAAGGGTTTTTATCCAAATGGACGACTTCGAAAGCAAGTTCTGCCCTAGTGCTCTTTACACTCCTAAGTAAAAATCTTCATAAACAGCACTAGAAATCCAACTGCAGTACTATAGACTTTACAAAAGAAAAAAGGAAAAAGAAAACCCAATTGGGGTTCACTCGCTTTGATTGTTTATACTTTTTGTATTGGGGGCTGAGTAGGGAAGAAGGGCAAAGGTAGATTTAGAAATTAAACTATTCATGAAGTTGATGTCCTAGGTTTCCATGAATCTATTCTTAATTAAGTGGATGACAAATTAAGCATCCATTTTCATAGGGATTAATTGCCCAGTTGTAATTGTTTAGCTAGAATGAGTATCAATTAGAAAACTACATTTACCAAAAAAAATGAGAAAAACAACAAATCCTTGTCCATGTGAATTTGCATTGAAGAAGTCAAAATAATACTACCTTCATACATATGAGCTATCAAAACGTGGAAAATCTTAGGTTATGCTACACGACTCTCCTAGTATATATAGTACAGGAACTTGATCATAAAAGTCATCAAACATCCAAATGACTAGAGCCAAAAATATTTGCCCCCTTGACTATAAATAAGCATGTAAAGCTAGAGCCAGTTTCTGCATATTTTTTCTTTTTTTTTAAAAAAAAAAAAAATTAGGGTAGAAAGCCATTTACATGTACTGATATCTAAGGTCTCTAACAAATAAAGGTCATTAATCTAATCTTAGAGGTGATGAACCTCGTACTCCATTCTCCAATCCATTATAAAGGAATCTCATCCAGGTGGTACATATTTTATTCACACTTGGTCGAGATAATTCTCAGCTGGTTCTCAAGTGTAGTCTTTTGTATGTCCATTTGCTAAGGCAAATTGATAATTTATTAACACGTGTTCTGCTCTTTTGTACTGCGTTTTATCTAAGTGTAGGAACTATGAACACAAATGGCCTTCACAAAACACTTGGACGAAGGCTGGACAGCGTGAAAAGCAAAGAAAATTCACATCGAAAGTACGAAATCTAAAGCGTCAAAATGGTAATAATAAAACTATAGGACTAAATGAAAATGTTCAGCTGCACGTATTCAACCTGGATCGAAGACAAATGAACAGCTAAAAGCGAAAAGGATGACTGAGGTCGGATGTTATCAAAAGGGTACTATCAAAAGGGTTCGAGTACTAATTATATTTTGTTTTCTAGTTGCTCATGAGATTCTTGGCACTGTTTTTCGAGCCGGATGGTGGGTGGGTATACTCTAGCTATTTATATAATGGGATATTATAGCTTGGGGATCAATCTCTCGTTTAAGGGTTTCGAATATTTATCCTTTTTTAAGTATTCTTCACCATTTACAGGAAAGAAAGAAGAACCCATGACCAATTTTGATGAATCTGTTGATCAGCTAGTTTTACAGATGAACTGATATGGCATAAACTAGTTCTTGGTCAGATTGAAGAATCTGATTAATTAGAGTTAATAATGCTGGCCTGAGAACTCTAAGATATCGAAGAATTCACTATGAAGATAGGCAAAAAAATGAAAGGAGAGAGAGATGAGCCAACATGTTACCACCAACCATGAATTATCATGCACCAAACAACCACTCTTTGGCATGATGGGACGCATTTTCTTGGCAATTAGTCTACAAAATGATAAGAAGAAGACACACTAGATGACTATTTCATGACATAGGCGATCGTCCATTAATTGGATCTCGGGAGTTCGAATATAAGAAGAACTTGTTCTCAAACTGGACAGGGTGGAACTCCAAAATTGGTCAAAAACAGTTGTTAAAATGCAATTGGAGAATTGCATAATTGGGGTGGCGAGGCTGAGTCATAGCGTGAACGAAAACAAATTTGGACCGTCATTGGAATAAGACGGTGTCAATGACAATGAGATAGCATGTGCATGCTTCTTTAGTTGTGTTTGCGTGCCTGATTTTGACCATTCTCATTGGGGCATTAAAATCGTAGATTTCCAATGGAAACTAGTTAGAGTAATCCCTAGTATAGAGAAAATAGTCAAAATACAACCCTTATTTTATACAAGACCAATTACAACCTGCCACATTAGTGTACGGACGACCTATATGAAGGTGTGCGAGCAGGTTTTGAACATTTTGTAATTCTAAGTGAACTGTTTGTACATTTTTACAATAGAAGTATGATATAATGTTATTATTGTTTATGTAAGTCGTATGCATCATAATTACGTCTTTATTGTAAAATTTTATAAATACTTTACGTAGAATTATACTTTATTTAAAAAATATTACACTGTTCAGGACGGACACGTAGAACTGGTTTATTGTTGGCGGCCAATGCTAACCCAATGGGCTCCTTCTTCGGTAATCCATACCCTCTGGTGATGTTTATTACATAACCTGCGATTAGTGGTGCATATTAGAGCCACTCCATCCTCAAAGTCCTAAAATAATACAAGAAAGATATAGTCGAGAACAAAAGTATATACTATTTGTCTGGAATATAATATTTGAGTGTGTAACTTTGTTAATCTTATCTAAGGAACAGAAAGGTTAGTCATTCATATGTAGCTTTTCTCATGTAAATAAATTAAGGCCTAGGAGGAAGTTGTCCAGAGTTTTGAACTGACTAGCGTATCTGATTATATATTCCAGTAGCATTCACATACAAAGAAGGTCAGCAGGAAGATACATATACGTCTCTCAACATTTATTAGCTAAGCTTGATAAAAAGCATTTGTGTTGCAAACCAACTATGTTGCTCTACATTTTGGTTACTTCAAACTAGTCAATTAAATTCTTTAGATGAAAATCTTGCTTGGATTACAATTTTTACATTTTTCACGAGTGCATTTTTCAATCACCTTTTATCTCATATACATTAAATCGCTACATCACTTTCAAAATTACCGTCCAGAATTACCTTTTACTTCATATACATCAAATCGCTCCAGAAAAATACAAACAAGTGCATTTTTCAATCACCTTTTATTTTATATACATCAAATCTCTACGTCACTTTCAAAATTACCCTCTAAAATTATCTTTTACTTCATATACATCAAATCGCTCTAAAAAAAATATATATAAACGGATAGATAGGGACTTCATATCTTCTTATTATTTAGTAAGAGAATATATATATTTTTGGTCTAGGCTCTCTGTTGATTTCTGTAATGAATCAAAATCTAACGAATTCTATCTTGGACAGAAAGGTAAATATGCTAGAATCTATCAAAATGTAATCCTTTAAATAATTTATTTCACCAAAGACAGACAAGGTTAAGAGTAAAGGCAACGGCAGTAGAAAGAAGAAAGTCCGTGTGGGACCAAAAATTTAGAAGGAAGTGATCAACCAGGATGCTTCTACAGGACCAAATCTTTTTCTGGCCTCTTATAAACCCACCTCCCAAACTCCCTAGCTTTTACTCTGCACACAAGACTCTCAGAAAAAATATCCCCTGCTTTTTCCAGCCACCCTCTGATTCTCTCCTCATATTCAAAATTTTTCCCATTCACAAACCCACAAAAACGCATTTAGATTTTTATTTGGGTCTCCTTGAGGCCGCTCGCTCTCTCATACAAGTGTGTTCTTTTCTTTCTGTAAGAGATTTGGGATGGATTGCTCAAGAAATGAATTGTTTAGGCCGTTTTCCTCTGGGTTTTCTTGAAATGTGTGGTTCTAGTTTTTCTATATTTTCGATTTTTTTCCCAAAGTTAAAATCTGGGTTTTGAAGATTGATCAGATATATCACTCGGGTTGCTAACAAAATCCAATCTTTCAGCCTTCTTTTTTTCGTTCTAATTTTGGTTTCTTTGATTGGGTGATCCATCTCAAATACTCTGCTTCCCCTGTTTTTCTTTAATATTAGCAGGGGAATATAGTATACTAAGAGAGCGAGCGGCTGGTTATAATCTTCTTATCCCTTTTTTTTTGGGCCGTTGGATGAACATTTTTGTGTCAATGGCTTCACCTAAAAACAGTGGGAAATCAAAGAAGTATGTGGAAGAATCACAACACTTGGCTGGAAAGGAGTGGGATAGAGATAGAAGAGGTCAAGGCATCAGGGAATTTGATTTAAGCTTGGAAAGGCAGCAACAGTGGAGGCCAGTTTTTGATGAAGCTTCCATGGAAAATAGGCCTTTCAAGAAGATCAAAAGTCCTGAACGCCAAGACCCTTTCCATCAATCCTCCTCTTCTTTAGCTCAACAAACTTCGCAACCTCCTCTTTCCCTTACACCTCCTTATGACAGCAGGGGATCAAATCCATTAGCTTTTCCTTCTCCTTCTCCTTCTTCTTCCTCTTCAAGGCATGTTTTTCCATTTGCCTTTGATGGAACTCAACAATCTTTGGAAAGTCTACAGCATTTAAGAGCACATACATTTGATAGAAATCAACAGAATACAGTTCCTCTGTTTCGTCCATTGCAGCAAAATGAGCAGCAAATGATCTCGTTTGCTCCTCATTACCACCACCATCAGCAGCAGCAGCAGCAGGGTTTTGCATTCCCACCTTATTTTGCAGGGGATGTGGCAGCAGGTTCACAACATCAACAGCAGCAGCTTTTGCAGTATTGGAGTGATGCATTAAGTCCTAGAGGAAGGATGATGATGATGAATAGGTTGGGGCAGGGGCAGGAGCCCAGGACATTGTTCAGGCCCCCAATCCAGCCAATTAACACCACAAAGCTGTACAGAGGTGTTAGGCAGAGGCATTGGGGCAAATGGGTAGCCGAAATTCGTCTCCCTCGAAACAGGACTCGTCTTTGGCTAGGCACATTTGACACAGCTGAGGATGCAGCCTTGGCCTACGATCGCGAGGCGTTTAAGTTGAGAGGGGAGAATGCTAGGCTCAATTTTCCTGAACTCTTCCTTGGTAAAGAGAAGGCAGAATCATCATCTGTAGCAGGACCGGATTCATCAGCCTCGGACCCTCCAACTCCCCATGACAATTCGGCATCAAGAAGCGGGGATCAGCCACAGCAGCCTGATCAAGCTCCTGAAGGGCTTAATATGGATGTGTACATCCCAGAGCTGCCAGCAGCTGCATTAATGGGAGATAATCCTGATGATGACTCTGGGCTGGGATCGAGCGAAGTTACGGCTAGCGATGAAGTTCCAGCCTTTGCAGAGAGCAGTTCTGCTGCAGCTGAAGGTGCATTACATCCACAGTCATCTGAGTTAGTTTGGGGTGAAATGGCTGACGCTTGGTTCAATTCAATACCAGCAGGTTGGGGTCCAGGTAGTCCAGTTTGGGATGATTTGGATTCGTCCAATAATCTCATGTTACCTCCTGATCTTCCCTTTGTCAACCTTCATCAACAAAGTTCTCATGATTCTGATTCTCAGAGGCAGCTTGATAATGCTGCTTCATCTTCTTCGACTTCATATCCAGTGAGACCCTTCTTTTGGAAGGATCGAGAGTGAAACTTTTAACTCAGAATCTGCAGCATTAGGCTCAAACTAGTCATCCCACTTGCACTCAGACATGCATGGACACAGGCACAAAATTTGCATTCCTTTCCCTCTTCTCCTCAAAATTCTTTCTAGTAGGAGTGCAGTTTTAGACAATCTCCTCAATTCTTCTTTTCCTTTTTCTGGTCACACACGTGATACATGCTATGACTCCTTAGATCCTTCACTTTTTTTTTCCCTTTCTTTCCTTTTTTTTTCTTTTTTCGAATTCCTAATCATGTCCTTTGACTACAAATTCTTCCTCGTCTCTTTTCCACCACTCCATCCTCAGGTTGCTGAATTTTTGCAGAACAACCTCTGGAATTCATTCTGCTTGCTTTCTTTCTTTTTCCATATTGGCCTTTAACCTCTTTTTCACTTTCTCGTACAAACCCAGCCATCCTGTCTCCTCCTCACCAGTCAGCAAAGAAAGGGCTGCATATTATAGGCCCTCCTTCTGCAGTGGCAAATTGATCAGTGCCTTAATTACTTCGTTGTGCAAAGAGTAATGCTGTTTTGTTCATGTCAATGCTATTCCTTAGAACATGTCATGCTACGATTCTATGTAGAACATATTAATGTTCTATCTATTGGTAATTTTCTGGTGATGGATGTTTCATTCAGCAGCCTAGAAACCAGCAAAAGGGGGACAGTTTTTTTTCCCTCCTTACATCCATTCCTCACGAACTTTTGATCTGTGAGGATGGGAAATTAGAGAAGTTAGTGTACATTTTCTCTAGGTGTGTGTTATGATATTATCATATTATGGTTGTAATTCTGCATTTCCTATTATGCTGACATTATTAGAGCAGCTTGCAGTTTCTTTCTCATCTCTTGTTTTCCTTGTCATACTTTTGACTACCTGTTTTAGTATTTTATTCCATTGTACGAGCACTAGAGGTTAAGTTTGCCATGGTTTATCATGAATTCTACACCTGCATGTAAATTTTTTTTTTTAAGAAAAGAAAAACTACTATTCCATGACACAGTTGTCTCTTTAGGGCCTTAAAAACGCCAAAAACTCTCTCATGGGAGCTTTACCAAAATTAGCAACCTTTGCATCAACTACGAATAAAACAAGAGTAAATCTTATATACGGTTAGTGTACACATTATCATCGTTTAATTCATGATATGTGTGAAAAAGTTAAATTTCAAATTAAAAATTTGCATAGTTATCATTCATTCAACGCTGACAGTGTATACACTGTGCGTGTAGGAAAAGATTAATCCATAAAACAATAAAAATGTAACTTTATCTTGTTATAGTGCAATTTAGCCAATAGCGAGGAAGAAATGTGCATACCAATTTTTACTTTGGCACACATTTCTATTTCTAGTTGTTAGATACAAGATGGCCTTGGCAATACATGACACTTAAATTCAACATTTTGACATTCATCTTCTTTAACCATATTTGACCTTTCAAGATTGGGTATTAGTCTTTATGAAGGTAACAAAAAATTGGTACTTGATTGTCTTGATCCATCAAGGATATGAGACACTAACTATGATTACAGCTTCCCTTTGGACTCCGCCGCGCGCCCCCCACTTCAAAGTCAACTTTGATGCCTCAGTATCCACTATTCACCGTCTTGTTGGGATTGGTGTGGTTATTCGTGACTGTGAGGGCCAGTTTATTGCCGGCTTATCCAGGAGAATCCCAATCCAAACTAGTGCAGACCTGGCAGAGGCTCTTGCTGCAAGGGAGGCGGTATCGCTGGCTAGAACTTTGATGATTCCAAGCTTCATACTTGAGGGGGACGCGTCCTCAGTGGTTAAGCAAATTTGTAGCTCAGATGAGATTCTCTCTGACCTCGGCACTGTTATAGAGGACATCCGTCTTTCCTTGCTCAATCTACCCATGTTGAACGTGGTCTGGACTCCTAGAGAAGCAAATAGGGTTGCGCATAGTTTAGCACAGTTTGCTAGATCTTCCAGTCTCTCTGAATCTCTCTGGAACTTCCCCCGGCTTTTGCCAAACAGTTGGTGTTGGACGATATCCAGCAATCTAATTAATACAACCTCTTTTACTTTTTCAAAAAAAAAAAAACTATGATTACAGCTTCATTTATTCATACTTTCAAATTATCTAGGTTCAAAATAAATTCTATCTTTGCAAGTGCAAAATTAATATCTGCATATACCATCCAAGAAAATTTACACTTAATACTATCACCCTACATTCCCAAATTAGCCATAAATTTAGAAGTTTGAAATGATATTTTACACACACACACACACTTGACACATCAATGCTGAAAAGCACAAGAATAGAATCTCAAAATGCTCCTTTTATCTTGTTATAAAGATGCTTCTTCTTTGGGGAATCTTCCTATCCCTTGAGCATAACTTATCAGACCCAAAATTATATTGAGTCTTGGAATAACAATGGGTGGCCATGCACAAACGACATAGTAGTTAATAAGCATGCGTTTCTTAATTAAGTATAGCACTTAAACAAATCTCTTAATTAATCCTCTAAGATGGGGTGATTGACAAAATATATAATTTGAATTTAGTGGGCCCAGTTTGCCGGCCCATGATATCATCTCTGGCTTTCTTGGTTGTGACGGCAGTGCACTAGGTGACGAGAAAATGATATGGTTAATAATTAGTATAATTAATTAAAAAAGTAAAATATCTAATCTTTGTGCTAAGAGCCTAAGACAGCCATAATCCATCTTATTAGCTTGGTCCCCACCACCATTTACCTAATCCTTAAACCACGCCCAACATTTTGATGTCATGGTAAGGCTGCTAGTTAAAAAATTCATGAATGGCTGGATTGTAGTAAATATGGTAATCCTTCCATTTCTTTCTTTCTTTTCTTTTTAGTACATCATTTTTGTAATTCAAAGGAAATGGGAAAATGGTGAGTTGCAATGATAATTATGAGGGTCAAATCTTATCTTATTGCCAAGATTTGTTGGAACTCATCATTATTTGTATTGATTTTTTGAATCTGTTGTATCTATTGATTTCACGTCTGTATGTGTCTGTATCATGTTTGATTTGATGTATTTCTGCCGTTACTGCAGATTTATTGACCCAAATGATATTTTCTATTGAAAAAAACAATAATAATCTTGGCTTATTGCCTGAAGGAAATATGGGTTTATCACTTGATGCCTCCCTTCAATTCCACAGCTTGATATGTAATTTTTATTTTTCCTCTCCTATGGCATAACGTAACTATAAGCATGATCTATTTCCTAATATCATAAGTAATCAGTCATACTTCTATTTATCCTCAAAATTAAGAAAAATAACTTGGAAAGTCTTCATGTTTATCAAATTCTTCTAATGCATAATACTCTCTAGATTTTGTACAACAATAATGTTTTCTACCTAAATCAACATCATAACTAACGACTTTTATGCAGAAAAATAGGTTATGAACTTTCTTTTCCCCCTAAATACGGCGTACGAAAGATTAATCCATAAACTTACATAAAATTTTCAAACAAATAATGGGTTCAGCACTAAAGCTTCAAAGGGCAAGAACATTACATAGATATCTATTTTACAAACTGCTTTTTAGTCTAAAGTATAAGAGGAGAAAAACTATTTTTTGTTTCTTCAGGGAAATATATGATTATGAATGAAATCAGCGAAAGCAAATACTGAGAAGATTTTGTTAAGCTTCACCTGAATAATTCTTTAGATTTACTCATAAAGAATCATCCAGACCCGTAGAAAAAGTCGAAATATACATAATCAACATTCAAGCTGCTCCAGATGAAGCTCAACTAGTTTATGATTGACGAAGACTAAAATAGTGCCTTGAACACAAAAGTTAGTAATTTTTTTTTAATAGGAAGACTAAGACTTCTGACCAAATCATGAGAATTCTGACCATGACGGGAATTTGTGGACAGTTTAAAAATCTTATAATGTATGTAGTAAGCATAATTTATCAAAATTGGCTTGCAAAGGTTGGCACCAACCTAAATTGCTGATATGAGACTTGATAGCATTCTAGCCACAAACTCTATAGCTTTGTACTGGTTACCGAAAGTGTCAAAGGATTTAGGTGACTTACTGCCTCTGCGGGGAATTCTATTCAACCCCAAAATAAATTCCTTCACTAATGTCTCCATCTCCTTAATGGCAATTCTCTCTTTCGTACCTTATGAAAGTCTTTGACCTCACATTTCTACAATCATAGGTCACAAACAAATAATACAAGTTGACAACTCTTTTCTTATTTATTTTGTTTTGTACTTCATTTATGTTTATATATATATATATATATATATAGAAATATATATTTGCATTTTAATATGCTCTAGATCTTTTGTAGTAGTTTAAAGTGACTTGTATTTCTAGCAATCATCTCATGTAAGTTATTCATTTTTTCATTGGATTAGTCAGAGATGATTGAGGGTTAACTTGGCGTGTTGTATCAACTCACTAAAAGAGTTCGTGTAGGATAATAAAGTCATAATTTGCTGAAAATTTATTGTGCAAAAGAGTTGGACCCATGACACACCATAATGGACAAATTAGAAATCAAATTATCACTATTGATTTCTCATTGAATTTACAACTAACCCCCATTGTTTACATGCATAACATCAAGGACTAATGTGGAATTATACAAAAATTCAGGCGTGACTACCAAAAATTTTGAGTTGGGCCTAGCTGGGATATAGAGTGCAAAGGCCCTGATAACTGCCAAAAATCTTTTTTGACACAGCGGCCTTTTAAGAGCCTCATTGGGCTCTTATCAAGCCCACTTGGTTTTTTTTTTTTTTTTTTGGTATTTCCAACTAAGTAGGCTTTTATACCCAAATAAATTGAAGTATCTCTAATAAAAAAGTTACTGACAAGACAAGTAGGGCTTGAAACGAGTCAAGTCAAATTAAGTTTTGATTTAATCTATCTGAAGCTCGATTTAATTTTATCAAGGTCAAACTTGAACTCAAACTTGAACTGAGCTCTCAATAAAAAATACAAGATCGAACTCGACCTCAAATTCAAGGCAAATTGAGCTCGAACTCGAGTTTAAAAAAAATAAAAATAATTATTTTATATTTTAAAAAATGAATAAAATAATATTTTTTAAAAAAATAATAAAATATTATGAATATGTAAATTTGAGTTAATTAACGAGTTAATGAGCTGAATATCTTTAAACTTGACTTCGAACTTGAGCTCGATTAATACTGAGTTCGAGTCGAACTTTGATTTGAACTAGTTGCGATCGGCTCGATTGACATGCACCCTACTGACTAGGGATGAGCAAACAGTACAAATTCGATAATTCGGTTAGCTGAATTCGGTGAATTCTGTTATTTGGCTTTTAGAAATCTAAACCGCTTTCAATTTCGAATTGGCTATAACCGAATTCATTTCGTAACCGATTTCGAATTCAGAAATGGTAGTGAATTCGGTTAACCAAATTCATTTATAAAAAAAAAAGCTGATTTTTTAAAAATTATTATTGATTTGATCCCCAAATTTATTCATAATTTAACACATTACTTATGTTCTAATCATTTTGTGGTTTTATTTAATTGGCATTTATTTGATCGCTTATACCTAGAATCCTTAGTCTATGATTTAAGGAACACATAAAAAGTGATTAATTTAAACTAGAATAAACCTTAGACTATACAATGATTAGTGATAATTTATGAATTTATAATTTACAATGATTAATAATAAGTAATATTAGTTACAAACTTACAAATTACAATGATTAGTAACAAGTTATATTAGTTACAAACTTATAATTTATTTCAAATCAAAATAAAACTTATTTACTTACATATGTTATTGTGAAAGTCAATACACTAATACATTGATTTGCAGTTCATATGCATTCACTCACACTGCTTAGTTGTCTTGTCTATATTTAAAGCCCTAAGATTAGTGAATAGAGAATATGAATTTTTATGTTAAATATGTAATGTAAATTTAGAGCACATTAATACTTGCAATTTACAGCTTACGCGTTCAAATATTTAATAATTCAAACATGAATGATGTATCAAATTACCAATATCTAAATTCTAATTACTAATTATGTTTATTGTTTAATATTTAGTATTATACATATATGTATTAATTATTATCTAATTCTAGTCATGTTACTCATGTATAAAATAATAAGTATTATAGTTATGTTATATTGTTATGTATTACTATATATTTGTATTATTGTAGTCATATAACAATTAACAAATAGTAAAATAATATATTGTACATTATTAGATATTATTATTATTATAAGTACATGATAATACCATATACTAACTATTATTAATAGCATTTACCTATATAATATAATAACATATTAGTAGTATATACTAATACTAAATAGCATTTATCTATATATTATATAATTTTATAAACTAATTTGGTATTCGAATGCAGTAATGCGGTACCCTATTTCATTTTACCGAATTTGAATGCGAAATCGGTTATTACCAAATTCATAATCTTATTATCTATTTTATACTATATTAGAATTCGGTGAATTTGGTATGTAACGAATTTATACCAAATTACCAAATATCTGATTTTAAATTATCAAATTAAATTTGAATTCGATTATGAATTCGGTATATGACGAATTTGCTCACCCCTGACAATGGCCAGGATAGCACCAAATGCATTCCTACCTATCAAATGGAAATCCAGAGACCAAATTTTGATTGGAGGAATGGAAGCTTAGTTGGCAGTTTTATTATCCGTCTCATTTCCCTCCCCATCATCATCATATCCTACTATGACAATAATGTCTGCTTTGTTATAGACAGACGATTTCATATCTGTAGACCTGTTTTAGAGACTTGTTTTTAAGTACACTGAACTTGATCACACATAAGATTCTGGTTCTTGGGAAACATAGCTCAATTTCCTTGTCATCTGCTACAACTTGATTGCATGGCTTTGCAAGCGGCTGCTTTACTTCCATCTGCTCTATCCCTCCACAAGGAGGTATGTCCATGTCACAAGTGTCTGTACCAGTAATTTTCTGATTTCTTGATGCTACTGTTTGAGTTAATGAAGAAATTACTGTTACTTCTGTTAACAGGGCAAGTCGAATGCAGCTCTGAAGGAGACAACGCTATTTGGCGTTTCAGTGTCAAATCATCTTAAAGCTGATTTTATTTCTTCTTCCAAATTGAGCAAGGTAATGTGTACTCGGGTTCTCTCAGTTTTGGCATGTTTTGGATTGTACTTGAGAAAATGGTTTGTGAGATGGAGCAAGATTAAATAGGGGTGCTAATTGATATTCTGTGGGTGGATGAAGATGTGCTCATTTTCTTGAATTCAGGGATTAAGCCTGTTAATTAAGTATTCTTTTGAGTGCGAATGATCAATAATCCTTAACTACCAATTGAATGTTCTGATATCCTATTTAATTGATTTTTGATAGCCTATGATACGAGTACTGCAGAATCTTGTTGGTGCAGAGGAGGCCAAGATCCCTAGTTTCCTTTTTTTTTTTTGTTGGGGGGGGGGGGTTGTTTTAATCACAAAACACAAAACCTTGCAGCTTATGTCCTTTATCTACCAAAGTTGTCGGCTTATCTGTTTTCTTCTTTAATCATGCATTGAACATATAATAATCCAGTCAGTCAGAAGAGCTTGTTAATCTTGGATGAAGGTGCTAAATAGAATTCATTGTTGCATTCCTAAAACCTCTTTGTTCAATAGAGTGCATAATGTATGTGTTTATCACCAAACAGATTCTCAAGTCAATTTACGCTCGTATACCATAGCTGCTAGTCCAATTAAAAAGAGAAGAACAGCGATAAACATCCCTCTTTCTTCCTTCCCAGATAGAAATTACACAAGATGGGCAGTGAACCTCAAATGTGTCAAATTCATCAAAGTTCAACATGAAACGTATGCTAAAAGTTCATAAAACTGCAACTTGGAGCCTTGGATTAGTACTGTTTCACAAACTTATGCGTGCTTGGACCAAAACTACTGGCTAAAGCATTTGGTTCCATGTTTGTAGGATTTTAGGAGGAGATCGTCACTTGGAACTATTAGAGCACAAACAGTATCAGCTCCAGAAATCAGCCAGGCTGCATCAGAAGAGAAGAAGACTTTGAGAAAAGGTAATGTCATAATTACAGGAGCCTCCTCAGGATTAGGTCTGGCTGCAGCAAAGGCAATCAGTGAAACGGGAAAATGGCATGTCATCATGGCTTGCAGGAATTTCCTCAAGGCTGAGAAAGCTGCTAAATCAGCTGGCATTTCAAAGGAAAACTATACGGTCATGCATCTTGACCTTGCTTCACTTGAAAGTGTACGTCAATTTGCAGACGCATTTCGACAATCTGGGAGGCCACTTGATGTGCTAGTTTGCAATGCTGCAGTATACTTCCCCACTGCAAAAGAGCCAACATATACAGCTGAAGGTTTTGAGTTAAGTGTTGGCACGAACCATCTTGGTCATTTCCTCCTTTCAAGGTTGCTGCTAGATGACCTGAAGCAGTCAGACTACCCCCAGAAACGCCTTATAATTGTTGGGTCCATAACTGGTAATCTCTACTCACCACATGTGCAGACTGCACCAAGTGATCTTTGAAAACTCTAGTCAATTTCTGAATCTAATATAGGAGCAACTCAATGAAGCTGGCAAAAAGAAGAAATCCCTGGTACATTTAGCGAAAATGAGTCATTATCTTGCTAGGATTCAAAATTTCAAATCATAGGATCAGATGATGAGGGAGTCAGCTACTAAACTAGGCATTTATTCCTGAGAAGAACTTTGTTCTGATAATGCAATTAGGTCCTTAAGGACAGTGTCTTTGTTTCAGTTCAGTTTCATAGAGAGTATATTTCTGTTCTTAACAGGTCTAAAGAAATTGAGCTGCTGTATTTATAGACCTTTTATGCTTTTGTCCCATCAGGAAACACGAATACCTTGGCAGGCAATGTGCCACCAAAGGCTAACCTTGGGGATCTAAGGGGACTGTCAAGTGGCTTGACTGGACGAGATTCCTCACCAATGATAGATGGTGGACAGTTTGATGGAGCAAAAGCCTACAAAGACAGCAAAGTTTGCAACATGCTCACTATGCAAGAATTCCATAGAAGGTTTCATGAGGAGACAGGCATCAGCTTCGCCTCTCTCTACCCAGGATGCATTGCTGAAACTGGTCTTTTCAGGGAACACATCCCACTGTTCAGGCTTCTCTTCCCCCCATTCCAGAAGTACATTACAAAAGGCTATGTGTCTGAAGAAGAAGCTGGAAAAAGACTTGCACAGGTCAGTGAAAATCACACAGCAAGATAGATATGCATCCAGTTTTGCAAACAGACTTACAGTTTCTTTCTGAACCACAGGTAATAAGTGATCCTAGCCTATCAAAATCAGGTGTTTATTGGAGCTGGAACAAGAACTCATCTTCATTTGAAAACCGGCTATCAAAAGAAGCCAGTGACTCAGAAAAGGCACGTAAACTGTGGGAGATCAGTGAAAAGCTTGTTGGATTAGCTTAAAGAAAACTTGGAGGGCACAACTCAAGTCTCTGTCATCATAAGCAAGGTTTGTGTAGTTAAGATTGACCTGGAAAGAAAATTACAATGAGCGATTCCTAAAACAAAATAACTTGCGCCTAGAAAGATTAGAAAGGTGAGCCATCCTTTGTACAGATGAGGCCTTTGTAAAAATAGCTTTGTCATTTTGCTCATGTGACATTTCAATTATAGTGTGTCTCTTTCATATGCTCTGAAAATTTTCGTTTTCCCCTTGACAGAGAATGTTGTCAATTGTTTTATTGATATGTTTTTGGTTAATGCGATTTATACAAGAATACTTTCATTGAGAACTATATTCATTCCTAGAGCAAGAAACTCAAAGTTGTGGAGATTTTCAACTGCGAGCTTACCTTCTCCCAACAGAGTTTCTTCGGAGTTCCAGACTAACCTCACCATAGGCTTGATGCTTCGGCACTGATCAGCACGCATTCCATGACCAAGATAGAGGTTTGCTTAAGGGTTTTGTACACTGCCGCCTGATCTTGTGCTTCAATTGCCTGGGCGCAAATTACAGACAACTGAAAACTACACTTCCTTTGGCATCACCTTGAAGGTGTAGACTGTGTTCAATGGCAAAAGTCACGCCTTCTTTCTCATTTTGCCTTCCACTTGAAACGGTGCAAGTAAACACAAGGCAACTGAATTTGAGCACCATTACAATTTTGCCTTCACACATGCACAGGCGTTAACTTCTTTCCTGTATCGAGTCAGGCCTCTAGACTCATATTAAAGGCGTGAAGCTACAACTGCAAGTGAATCACGCCTTCAAGTGCCAGTGCCGTCTGTTCCATTTTTGTCCCCATCTCCAAAAGTGCATTTCCAATTTTTCCGCTACAGAAAAAATTCCCGGGATACATCATCAGAAAATCATTTAGTATAGTTCCAGGCAACAACTGAAAGTCAAACTCAAAGCCCTCTGATCATTTCACAGAGGTTTTAGCCCAGAAGACCCAATAAACAAATGTTAAAAAAAAAAAGAAGGTAAAAACTTTGCCCAATCTTCTCTGCATTTTGGCAGATGATTCATGGGTTTTACTCTGACAGTTTTGGCTAACTTAAAGAGGCCAAGAAACCCATAAAAGATTTTGGTTAAATCGCAGACTTTTGCTGATATTATTGCCTCCATCTCCGTCTTGATTCTTAAATTCCACCCCCTTCCTTACTAAAAAAAAAAAAAAAGAGTATCCAATAATATTGTCTGTTGCTATTTTTGCAATTTGCAGCCAGTATTTACTACCTCTAAAGAAGGAAGAAACTCATAAACAGTCTTGGCTCTTGAGTCAATCCCAGTTTTTCCTCTACTCTTCTTGGAGCTTAGGAATGGGTATTCCACAGCGTTGTCTTCTTTTGCTTTGAAGAACTAAGAGCAAGTACAAAAAAATGGATCTTGAGCTAACTGATAATGCTGGTGATGCCTCAGATCATCATAAGCTGGTGGAAAAGAGAAGGAAGAGTACAAGGAAATTCGTTCTTGCTTGTGCTGCTTTTGCATCTATTAACAATGTCCTTATCGGCTATGGTATGTTATTTGACTTTGATTTTCATGTCCACTTCGATTGGTAAATGATTAGCCCTTTTCTTATATATCAGATTTTGCACTTTTAGCTGATAAACTTTGCTCTGTTCAATGTTTAGAGTGTTTGTTCATCTTTGACCACAAAAAAAAAACAAATAAATAATTTGAGATTAGACGAAGATCAAACACTGATAAATCCTGGTTTTTCGATATCATGGTGATACTTTTAGCCGCTTTGGAGAGAAAATATGGAAAAAGAGTGTATTTTTTTTTTTTAGATTTAGTAATGTTCTTCCCATATTGAGCTCTTTGATCTACTAGACTTGTACAGGTTCTCCGGTCTCTGTTTTCACTTTTTGATGTTTGTTAAGCTATTGTTAACAAATAAAGAATCACTCTGATAGTAGCATAACCTCAGTTGTGTCATTCCTTAGCTCTGTAATCCTTAATGTGCCTTTAATGGGCCATCAAGGACAGTGAGTACATTGGGTCGATAGATAAAACAGGGGTATGATTATATGGCAAGAATATCAGGCTTTCATGCATCTATCATGATTGCAATGAAGCAGCAGGCAAGCATCGTGCAAGTATAAACTGTCAAGTGCCGTGAATTCATTTTACTGGCATATCTGCTGTCAAATGGTATGTAGTAGTGTCTCTCGAAATCTACATATTAATGTGTTGTTTGGGCAATTAAACTTTTTAAGATGAGCTAGTTAGGCCAATCAGATATTCTTTAGTGGTTCCTCCTGAGGTTACATGATGTTCTTTTATATTTCTTGCTGTGACTTTTGTTAGTTGACGCTGATAATAAGGGTAAAGAGAAATTTCAGCTCTAGCATGTGCATATGGCACCATGTGACTTGAGGTCGGTTTTTTCGGTACACAGATGTAGGTGTCATGAGTGGGGCAATACTATTTATTAAAGAAGATTTGAAGACAACAGAGGTGCAAGAAGAAATTTTTCTTGGTATCTTGAGCATAATATCAATTTTGGGTATTTTAGCTGGTGGAAGAATATCTGATGCCATTGGGAGAAAACCAGCAATGGGTTTAGCTGCTTTTGTCTTCCAAGCAGGAGCAGTCATAATGACTGTATCCCCCACATTTGAGGTACTAATGATAGGAAGAATCTTGGCTGGAATTGGAATTGGTTTTGGAGTCATGATTGCACCTGTTTACATTGCAGAGATATCACCTGCATTTGCTAGAGGTTCCCTCTCCTCCTTTCCTGAGATTTTCATAAATCTGGGAATCCTTTTAGGTTTTGTCTCCAACTATGCATTTTCTGGTCTTCCAGCACACCTAAACTGGAGGATAATGCTTGCAGTGGGAATTCTGCCTGCAGTCTTCATTGCATTTGCACTATGCATAATTCCTGAGTCACCACGGTGGTTAGTTATGCAGAACCGAATTCAAGAGGCAAGGGCTATTCTGTTGAAAACAAATGATAATGACACAGAGGTAGATGAGAGGCTATCAGAAATTCAATTAGCTGCTGGAATTACTGATGCCGAGAAGCATCAAAGCAAGGCTGTGTGGCGTGAATTGCTAAGTCCTACTCCAGCACTTCGCAGGATGATGATCACTGGTTTCGGAATCCAGTGTTTCCAACAGATTACTGGCATTGATGCAACTATTTATTATAGTCCCAAGATCTTTAAAGCTGCTGGTATTGATGGTAACTCAAACCTTCTTGCAGCAACAGTGGCTGTGGGGGTTACAAAGACGGCATTTATACTTGTAGCTATTGTTCTTATCGACAAAGTTGGGAGAAAGCCACTGCTCTATGTGAGCACAATTGGTATGACTTTATGTCTGTTTACATTGGGAACCAGCCTTTCCATTCCGGGAGAGGGATCTGTCGGAATAGCATTGGCAATACTATCAGTCTGTGCAAATGTAGCTTTCTTTTCCGTGGGTATTGGTCCCGTTTGTTGGGTTTTGACTTCTGAAATCTTTCCTTTGAGGCTAAGAGCTCAAGCATCAGCACTTGGAGGAGTTTGCAGCAGAGTATGCAGTGGCCTGATTGCTATGTCCTTCCTCTCTGTTTCGCATGCAATTACTACGGCTGGGATCTTTCTTGTGTTTAGTTTACTTTCAGCAATTTCTGTTGCCTTTGTCTATACAATGGTTCCAGAAACTAAAGGTAAATCTCTGGAGCAGATTGAGCTGCTGTTCCAAAATAATATCTGCGGAGGTTTTGGTATCAAAAATTTCATCTCCTCAAAGTTTCTTGGCGACAAACATAAAGTGTCAGCACGCACAGCTTGAGATGATACAAGTAGGACAGTTTGGGCAGGAATTTGTAGCCTCAACTTTTGGTTAGTCCTACGTATAGAGCCACATGTATCTCTTTCCTTTTTTTTTTTTCTTTTTTTTGTACATAATGGTCTTGCTTCTGACTGCTTACTCTTCAATATCAAAAGCCTCCTTTTAATTTCATTAAAAATGTTTTATACCACAGCAAGATCTGTATTCTGAACGGTAAAAGGACCAGCTCTTGTATTTTTTTTTTTTTCCTTTTTTTGGGTTGGATATAACTTGTCAGACAATGGTTTATAGCTGTCAAGGCTAATTTCACTTTTCACTCTTCAACTATATCTAGATTTCAACTTTGGTCTTTGAACTTTAAAATGGAATACTTTAGTCCCTAAAATATAAAAATTTCTTCCACTTAAATAAAATCATTGATGAGAGCGGGATCAAGTTTATACTTAAGTGTGATAAATTTTATATTTTATGGATTAAAGTAGAATAATTTTTATACTTTAGGAACTAAAGTGTTCTATTTTAAAATTTAAGAATTTAACACTTTTTGACAGTAAGAAGAACTTTAAGAATCATATTTTGACCACCAAACAAACATAGTGGTTAATTTTTTAACATATATGGTCATATTTATAAGGCCTAAATCTTTAAGCCCAATAAATTTTGATTTAAACTTTTTTTTTTCAATTGAGATTATTTTTTCGTTGAACTGATTTTTATGAGTAGCATTCAATACTAATAATGATTTTAAGAAAACACATTATTAATATCCATAGATTAGTAATTAGGAAGATCATTGAACTTGATCTAGTGATGCTGTCTCCAAAACTGATTCACCGGATTGGATCGTATGTGATTAGGAAGTTATGCGGATCAGATTCGTGTTTCATATTCGGCTATTGGTCTTTTTATTTTTTATTTTTCTACTTGGGCAAAAGTTCGAGGTCCTTCACTGCAATTAACCTTTGTTGAAAATCAGCATTGGAAGAAAAATATAAAAAGGTTGAAAATTTAAGGCGAATACGCAAACAGTAACTGTAGAGGATCAAGAAATGGTGAACTGGGGAATTGCAGAACTCCACAGAAACTCGGGCAACTGGGACAACCTAGTTAAGGATATAGTGAAGATGGAGAAAAAGATTTTCCCAAAACACGAATCACTTGCTCGATCGTTTGATGAAGAACTCAAGAAAAGGAACAGTGGGCTGCTTTACTCCCAGGTTGAAGATGGAGATGTTGCTGGCTATGTCATGTACTCTTGGCCTTCTTCGATTTCTGCTTCCATTACAAAACTTGCAGGTTCTATTTCTATACTCATCATCTTGCAGCCATTATTAATACTGGTTCGGTTTTCTTGTTGAAATTTATTTGTTGCGCTAATCCCTTTCGTGGGATTCGTCATGTTCGAATTTGAGAATTCAGGAGCTTAATTGCTCTTATTTGTTCAATAATACGGATTATAGGGAGCTATTAAAAAGAGCCCAGTTGTAAAATTACTGGGTAGCCGGAACAAGTCTGTCATCTTCAATTCTGTTCTCAGTTTTCAGCGCAAGTCTTTTTTCTTTTTCTTTTTTTTTCATTTTTTCTTAAGAGCTACTGTTTTAGTAGGCACAGTTATAATTTATCAAAAATGAAAAGAAGCGTAAATGGTTAGGTAGCATGGAATTTGAACTGATTATTCAGAGTTTGAGTTCTTCTATTAGCAAATGCAGGTTGGTTGATAGAAAATTGACTCAGCATTGAGAATCGTTATAGGTTTTTTATGCACAGACTACAGATTAAATTAGACTTCTATCATAATTGTGCTGATTTGTCCACAGATCGAAGTTAGGCTTGGTACAACTAGTGTACCAACTTAGCAACATAAAGGCGAAAAATGCAGATTGCTAGTTGTGCATCTTATAAATGGTGGGTCTGTGTAACAGAATGTTTCTTTGTTGAATTTCTGCTTAGTTTTGTCTTTTGCACTGATTGATCTTATTCCTTTTGTTTTGCAACACTACAATTTGTCTTCCTCCCCAAATTTCTTAATTCATGTCATTTTCCAGCAAAATTTCTGCTTAGTTTTGTCTTTTGCACTGATTGATCTTATTCCTTTTGTTTTGCAACACTACAATTTGTCTACCTCCCCAAATTTCTTAATTCATGTCATTTTCCAGCAAAATTGGCATGTGTTAAGGGCTTAAGGCCCCTAGCCCTTAACACGAAATTAGACGTGGGGTAGTCACCCCAATCACATCTGCTTCTAGGAGGTACCTGAGGCCTGTAGGTGGTGTATCCATTGAACTCTGTGATAGCTGGTGCTGGACTGCTTCTTTGGCTAGCCTTGCAAGAGATTAGATTTCCTTTTGTTAGCAGATTACAAGAAAAATTAAACAAAAATCCTCATAAAGTTAAGAAGTAGAATATGAGATCATGAATTGTTCCACAAACATGTGGAAACTCTTCTATTGAGCAATTGTTGTTGTGCAAGGGTAATGTCCTGTCTCTCTGCTTTCTGAAGTTACTTTGTCTACTTTTTAGGCTTATACCTTCGACATCAATGACTTAACCTCCTAAAGCGGTCCTCAGGGTAGAAAATCATGAATATATGTGCCTTTTGACATGAAACTCTGGAACAACTCAACTTGATGTGGTAGTTAGGTCTTTGACCTATATAAGTCATAATTTAGTGTAGAAAGGACACACAGTAAAATTGCAGTGTTTCATTATCTCATGCAAGACCACAAAATGTACAAAATAGCATATCCATCCTCCTAAGTCATACCAGCCTCCCTTTTATGCTGTTCTAGGTTATGTATATTTGCAAAATGTGATCCCATGGAGAATATAGCTTCTTAAAACAATGACAAAAAATTTATAACGAAACCCCTTCTGTGGATTTGAGATCTTCCTTTTCTTTATAACCTCCTCATCTTATAAAGGAGTGTTTAAACAAGAATTACATGATTCAGGCTGGTTTGCACTACACATTCTTCAGAGCAATATAATCCTGAAATTTTTCACCAGGTTGAGCAATGATTGCCCCTCCTTGGACTGCTCTGACTTATACCTCAGTTCAATTCTTGGTGCTCTTTCAGTTATGGTTTTCCAGACACATTGAGAAATAAAGTTGATGAATTTAGCCTCAAGCTTGGGGTCTCCCACCAAAATGGTGGTATTGCACATATCATTTGTTGACTTGGAGATATCAATTCTTTCTTCCATCTTTCTTATTCGGTTTTTGTTTTGAAAGGAAAGGGGAGGGAGGGAGAAAATTTTCCTCCTGAGGACCATGACTAGTAAATGAAAAAAAATGATGAAGATGCACTTTTGAGAAACCTTACTATCGGCTTCTTTTGAAAGAGAAATACAGGACAACAACAACGTTCATCTTTCTCCTATGATGCCTTCTGAAATCCTGCTTCACTCTAACCAAAATCAACTGTATGCGATTCATTTGGAGAGACTGAAGCCTGTTGATAAGCTGATTACAGTTCCTTATTAGCATGTTCCTATCTTGTATGGTAGTGTTTGGTCCTTGCATGAAGTGTCTGTGATTTCATCCATTATTAACTTTTGTGCTACTAAAAGAAGCATGGATTTAACTTTTATTTCACTATATATTGAATTTTTTTCTGGGTTTAATTTTGATTGATTGTTGTGATTTTTCTGGCTGGAAAAAAAAAAATAGTGAAGGAAAATCATCGAGGACGAGGGCTTGGAGAAGCATTGCTGAAGGAAGCGATCCACAAATGCGGAACAAGAAAGATCCAAAGGGTATCCCTTCATGTTGATCCTGAAAGAACTGCAGCTATGAACCTCTACAAGAAACTGGGATTCAAAGTGGATACTCTTGTTGAGGGTTATTATTCCCCAGATCGAAATGCTTACAGAATGTACCTTGATTTTCAAACAGATTAACTTAATCAAGTGTTCATGAAATTCATATATCACCGTTTGTTTTTTAATTTTATTTTATAGTGAAATTCCACATTATTTGATCGTTTTTAACTTTTTATAGAATTTGTGGCAATCTTACCCTATAATTGCACCCCTAAAACTTTTTATTTCTTTAAACATGTTCAAAACGAACCAAGTACTAGTTAAAAAGTATAAAACAAGAATGAATTTAAAAACTTTTGATACATAAAAATGAACATAAAACTTTGTTATCTATTGCATAAAAAGTAATTATTATCCGATAATTTCAATGTTGTTATCTGTTTTAATACTCTATATATTTTTTAACAAAATTCACAAAACTATCTCACTGATTTTGAACTATAATTTTTACCTTAATCTTATTTGTTGTACACCAAGTTAGTTAGCTGTCCCTCTAAAGTTCTAACTTTGGTCATACCTTCAATAGTGATTCACAAATATGTATGAAAAGTATTAGCATGATCCCAAGGGCTCCATTTTGGAAGAAGAAAAACAAGCATAATAGAAAAAGAAATTCTGTCCAAACTAAGCAAAAAAAAAAAAAAGGGAAAATTAGAGCAAGTAAGACACCAAGCCTAGAGAATTTCGAAAAATGTTTGAGAAGTTATATGTGAAAAAATGTTACTGCCCAGGATCGAACTGGGGACCTTCAGTGTGTAAGACTGACGTGATAACCACTACACCACAGCAACATTCGATATCTTAGTAATTTTTATTTACTAACTATACATGGGGAAATTTAGGCGCCGGGTTTGTTTTGGTTTCCTCTCATTTTGGCTTGGATTTCGGACTTCGGAAGTTCGGAGCAAAATTCTTTCTTGTCTGATCAGCCCTGGTTTAAATTTATTCTTCCAATTAAAGCAAAAGAAAAAAAGAAAAGGGGATACTGAGCTTAACCCTGACATCTCTGATATTGATCTGGGGTCAGGGTTTTGCAAATTTGGTTGAGAAAATGTCGAGAATGGCGCGGAGTTGCCTGCAATCCGTCCTGAAAATAGTGAATTCGGGAATTGGAATGGTGGGGATAGCTACGATTTTGTATTCCCTTTGGATGTTTATGACTTGGCGAAGGCACTTGGGTCCTAATCCTCCTGATGTACCTACCCCTTGGTATTTTTTTCTATTGAATTTTCTGCTTTTCTCTGCTTATATATGCCTGAAAAATGATGGGCTTTCCTTTTTATTTATTGATTAACAAGAAAGGTGATTGCTTTATTGATTTATTGGTTGGTTGGTTGGTTTGGTGGACCGGAGGTTATCTTTCGTTTTCATGACTGGCCGGTTTGTGAACTCTTTAAACTTTTTTTTAAAAAAAACGAAAGTTTTTTTGTTTTTTGTGTTATTCTAATTGGGTTTTTTTTTGGGGGAAAAATATTTTACTTCTTTTTTTTTTGGGCTGGTGTTTGTTATGGATTGGCAGTTGAGAGCGAAATGAGAAAATCAAGGGAGAAAATTGATATGGTTTGGATTAGATATATCTCGGTAATGAGGGTTGAATAAATACGATTTGCAAATGCACCTCTATAGTGATGGCTTGGATTTTTGTGGTGAATGAGCTCACACATAATCATTAATTGGAATCTGAGAAATGTTCAGATGATACTGATGAAAATTTTTGAGAACCTATATATTCTGATGAAAAAGTTTAGAACCTATGTGAGTGCATGTTTTTTACTCAAAGCCGATGCTTTTTTATCTGATTTAGGCAATTTGGCTTTGTTTGTGAGAGAACGTTGGAAAACTAAGTTCTTTCCATGTTTGGCTGCTGTTTCTTGGGTACATTTTTTAGCAACCATCTGTTTAGACAATGAGAATTGTAATGCTCTGTTGTGCTGCAGGTTCATCTACTCCTTTCTTCTCATTGGGGTGACTTTGTGTGTTGTGACATGCTCAGGGCACATTGCTGCTGAGACTGCTAATGGTTGCTGTCTTTGTTTTGTATCCTTTAAGTGAATGGATTTTCGTGAATAGAGTAATCGTATTACTGAAGAAATTATGCAGGGATTTTCTGTGGCTGGTGTTTGATTTTATCAGTAGCCTTGTTGCAAAAACATATAGATTGCTTTGCCATGTAGGAGACATAAAGTTATCGCCTTTGTATGGTATTCTGTGTCTTCTGCTTATGGACCTCTGGTTTGTGGTTAGGCCTTGGAGGCCTTAGGAACGAGCCTTTAGAGTGCATTAGGAGTCTTGAGCTTGTCTTATTGCCTTACTAGAGTGGAAGTGTGTTGAATGAAGAGCAGACAGTAAACGTCTTTATTATGGGTGTTTTATTCTGTCTCCACTGATGAAAGCAATCGTGTAATCATTCTCGCCTCTTATCGTTGGATTTGGCTAGCCCATTTCTTTCAGTATAAACTAGAGTTGTTGTTTTGGCTATGTGTTATGCTTTCATTGCTTTTCTGGTGCATGTTTGCAACATGGTCTCCTATCCTTCAACATGGCAAGGACAGTCTTGTTTTCCTTTAATTATAATTCTTGGTGAACTCATTGAACCTGTGGTTGGTTGTAAACTTGTTCTTTTCAAAACCTATTGAACCATTTATTTAAGTTGGCTGGGCTTTCTGTTTGTAATGCTCTTTCCTTAATAAGAAGATTAGCAGGCAATGAGTAATGTTAGGGCAAGAAAAAGCAGAAATTTTAACCACGCAGACATTAGCTGAGCTTAACGAGTAGCAAGGTTCACCTTTAATGCTTTTCAATTTCTTTCTTTTCCAGTCTTGCAAGAAATTCTGGTTTATAAGTTGATGCAAGGCCTTTTTCTTTTTCTTTTTTTTTTTTTTTTTTGTAATGGATCAGGCTAGACTGAAGCACAACTCAGTAATAGGAGTTGTCTAGCTCATTTTGGACTCTACTTCATAAAGCTCATCTTCGATTTAGTAAACCTATGAGGACTTTGAAATGTTTGTCCTGTCATACTTATTTTTGCGACTTTTTTTTAATTCTTATTCATTTATTTGTTTATTTTTAAATGCAGTTAACCTCAGTGGAGCTGTAATTTTTACTGCAACTGTTTTGTTATTAAGTGTTTGGCTAACCTTAACTCTATGAAGTACATGATATTTGTCTTTCTGCTTATCATGGTTGAAGCTGCAGTAGCTGTGGATGTGATTCTAAATCGCAACTGGGAGGAGGTAAAACTACCCTGTTCAGCATTTTACGCTTAATTATATGGGAAAAAATTCACTTTCCTGAAAAAGAAAAAAAAACACTGATAGTTGAATTGGAACAGGGCTAAGTCATATTCATTTGCACTGACTGCATGCCAGGACTTTCCAGATGACCCAACAGGGAATTTTAACGAGTTCAAAGATTTTGTGAGAGAAAATTTTGAAACGTGCAAATGGGTTGGCGTGGTTGTAGTTGCTGTGCAGGTTCTTCTCTCTCTCTCTCTCTCTCTCTCTCTCTCATACACACACAAAAGCAGGCACATTCTCCCATCCCCCAACTCACATTCTTACACAAAAGAGGCATGCATTTAGAAGCATTCATTTTATGTTTTTTTTTTAAAATTTAGTCAATTTTTTACAATCACTGATGGAATAATGCATCACTTCTTAAGCAACACACATATCCTCATTAATTAGTTCGAGCATTTACATTTTTCATATGCTGATTTTTTTTTATTTCCTATTTCCTGTGTGTGCTTGTTTACTACTTACCAAAAGGAATGAGTTTGTGCTTCTTAATTTTTTAAACCACCGTCTTTGTGGTATGTATTGAATGGTGTTCATTTTTTACATTTGCCCATTATATGTTTGCATTTCTATCTGACTGCCGAGGTGAATAAAATACTTTGCAATTTGAATATTTGTTAGTTGGCATTAGCATTTCAAATGTGAGTTGGATGTTGAAGCTTGTTTGCAAGATAAAGAAAGAAATGGAAAGAACTACCACATGGTTGTTCAGTTGGCCTATTGGTCATGTTTTATGTGCAGGGTGTAAGTATGCTACTGGCAATGATTCTAAAAGCCTTAGGACCATATCCTGAGAGATACTATGAGAGTGATGATGATTATAGTCCAGATAGAGTCCCTCTCTTGAAGCATTATGCCCCTCCGCCTTCATACGTTGTTGCTGACACACTTCATCCATCAAGGAATGATTCTTGGAATGTCAGGATCAACAGTAAGGTGGGTTTGCAATACTTTCTTGATTATTTTTGAAGAAGTGTCAATTTTTATTGGCATGATGGCATTTTGATGTACCCATCTGGCAAGCATGTTTCATCATGGTTTGTCTGTCTTTTGGTGTTCTGTCTGGTTTGATATCTCAATTGTTTGCAACATATTACTGTGAGATTTGACATTTGACTGTGTTTTCACATTTTGTTTCTCGCATTTCTTTGAGTCTGCATGAGTATAATTTTAGCCAATGTGTTTGCTTTATGAGAAAATTGCTTAAGCATGTTTTTTCTATTGCTAGTTGTCTCTTTTTTCCTTTCTTCCACTCTGCCTCCCTTTCCCTCTTTTGAATCCATACAGCTTCTGGGAAGAACTTGATACTCAGAGTCAAAGTGCACCTGCAGCTTATCTGCCTGCTTCTCCTTCTATCCTTTTTGTTTTCTCTTTCATTCTTTCATGTCCTGGTTTAGTTCCTTTAGAAGTTTCAGGAAGTTTTTCAATTTAATAAGATTGGCCAAGGAGGCCCCTTGGCCTAGAGGCTAAGGTTGAGGCCCTGGAATTAGAGGTCTTGGGTTCAAATCCCCCCCCTGCTCCATCCCTGCGTCTTAAGTCCCATCCCTCCTTGCTGGAAAAAAAATTTTAAAAAAACTTAATAACATTGATAAATTTGTATTCCAGAAATTTTTAGGGTGACTATGCTGTCTCATGGTTGCACTTCTGTACTGAGTGTTCTTCTGTGATTTTGTACTGTCCTTGCAAATTACTTGCACATATTGCTCCCTCCAAAAAAAATACCTTCTAGTATACATTATATGTATATGGATCATGATATTAACTTCGAATCAATATAGTTGACTTGCGGATTCTATTTTGTTTTGATTAATTATGACAACTTGGCATGACTAGTCCAACGATTTCATTTCGTCTGAACCAAATACCTCCCATCTTCAACTTCACGAGAAACTTGGAATCAGCAAGACAATTAACTTTCCCTCTTAATTACCGAGTCCAAAAACCAAAATGCAGTAATGTCTCCAGTCATTTAATAAGTTTCAATCAATTAGTAGTATTAAAAAGTATAAAGTAAACAATTTTTTTTAGCTAATCTATTTAAATGTACAATTTATTATCTAAAATTCACAATACAAGTAATATAAAATATTATTCTATTTATGATGTGTTTTCAAGGAACTTAAGAAGTGAGTGTGTGTGAAAATACATTTATGTATGTGAAATGTGTTTATATGTGTGAAAAAAATCTTTTTTTTTGTATGTTAAAATGTATGTGAAAAAAGTTTATGTATTAAAATGTATTAATTAATATGTTAGGTCATATTTGAGTCATGGGTTTGAGATAACCCAATATGACCCAACCCAAAATCAACCCAATCTAAAGTTGGGTGGGTTGGGTATAACCCATTTAAGTGAGAACCCAATATTAATCCGCCCAACCTGCCCAATTGCCAGGTATACATATTTCTTATACTTTCAGTGGAGATTTAAGATGGAGGCACTGGGGGCACGGGCCCCACTATCCCTTTAAACTTCTATAGTATCCATAAAATTTTGATATAATTTCAAGTATGTCTTCAAAATTTTCTTATGAAAGGAGTGAAAGAATTAAGTAATCCTCTAAGTTGGTTCATGAACTAATATTCTAAAAGAATATGCGGGCCACAAAATTTCATTTGAAATAAACTAAAAAAAGATTTTTCATTTCAACTTGTTGGTGAATATTTTTTTTGCTTAAAAAACTAAAAAGAGAGTAGGTAAAAAATTTTAATGTTGTTTTTGCCCCCACTGAGAATTTTTTCTGGCTCCACCGCTGTATACTTTGCACAACTTCAAACATGTTTGTATAGGCATGCCTAGATTAATATTAGTTTTTGTAATGTGTACAGGGCATCGATCTCAAATCATCCCACAAGGGGATTCATTATTAAGTCCATAGTTACTTGGCACAAATCTTGACATGTTCTGTCATTGAGCAAATGTGCAAGGCTGAATCCATCAAAGTAGTAGAACTTATGATGTTAAAAGAACTGACGATTGTCAGATCATAAGTATCACCATCAGGAATAAATGATAATCAAAAACCATCATGACAATGATATATTGGACCTCTCAAGTTGCAGAAGCTTTGAACTTCAAAACATGCAATTCCTATACAATCAAGCTTTCCTTGTAGATTAGGTTGGTGCTAAATCAGCAAGAACAGAATAATTTGCAGATTGTACGCAACATGACACATGATACAAGTTCATAATTCACGGTCAGTATTGATGGTTTCCATTCAAAGAAGTACAACGTTTTGTTTTTCTTCCAAAAAGACGAAGCCATGCAAAAAGTAGAACAAATAGGTTTTAGGTCAGTAAAACGTGCGACCATGCACAAGACATTATTCATGGATATCTGCTTTGTTAATTAGGTAAGGATTATTCCAATTGTTAGTTGGTCAAAAGGGATTGTATGAATTTGGAAGTTGGAACTCCTTTGCCTGATTAGCATGCTGTTTCTTTGACCACAAACTTGAGGCTCAAGAGAACATCTTGTAACAAAGAGACTGTTGTCTTGGTTCACTACTGCTTGATTTTTAGGCTAAATTGAGTCCTGAAGTTCTTAAATACACAGTAATATATTTATATATATAACAGTAATATATATAATTAATTTCTTTCCCATGCAAAAAGTTTGTATTGCATTCAATAGTATAATCAGAAATTACAACACAAATTTTAAAAATCTATAAATATTCAGTTGACAGATAAACTTTTTTTTTTTTACTCGGGATGCAAAAAGAGTTTGGGAATGAAAAAAATAAACTTTTTCATCGCGCTAAGCTAATGAAATTGAATTAGTGGCATTAGGTAATAGGCTAAAATTAAGATATTAATTAATGAAAAAAAGAGTGAAATTTCAAAGCGTTAAGAAAAAAAAACATGTGACCAAACTCAATAATAGGAGCAAGGAAAAAAGAGAAATAGTTGTAGAAAAATAGAAAAAAATGTGACTAATTATAAATTTCCCTAATCACGGATAAAAAGACAATCTTATGATTGAAAAAGAGAATTAAAACCACGGGTTGATTGATTGATTGATTGACTAATTGATTAAATAAGACGAAAGGTATAATTAGCACAAACATATAAATAGTAAAATGACTATAAATTAAGGTAAGTAATTGATACAAATACATATAAGGTAGGTAATTGATAATTGATTGAAATTTACTATGAATAATGGAGTGAAAAAGAACTGTAAATTAATTGTTACAACAAAAAAAAAGAATGAAATCCATCAAAAAAATACATAAACAAAAACAAAATTTTTTTTATCACATGACAAAAAGATAGGACCTCCACTTGATATGATATAGACAAGTACAACTTGATAACCTAACATACAAGAAATTGAACATTATATGCGTGTGCCGGCACGTGCACGCTAGAAACTTACATAAACATAAATTATGGCTGTATTGGTCCTTACTCTTTTCATAATCCGATCAGATACTCTTTCGGTTTGCAATTGAGATTGCTAGTGGTGTCCAATCTCTCATATTTCAGTGGGAGTGCTTCCAGGGATCGACAATGACCTTCAGCATTATCCCAAATGGTAAATGCAGAAGAAGTTTATATATTTGTTGAAGGAAATGTCCGAGGACACTGCGCTTTCTCTTGTCCTATGATTCATGAATGATGTCCACAACTTTGTCATAGTGACTGGCCTCCGTCCTGTTCATTTCTAGTACGACATTGATTTGAGTCCATGTGTTTCCCGATTTCAACAAGACATCCCAACGAACGTGATATCAGTCAACTTTACTCTCGCTAAGGTCAAGAATTACCCAGCTTACCTGTTGCATGGTGTGTGAAAATGAACATTCGGTTGATTTGGTATTGCATCCAACTTGTACAGAAGAAGTGAACAAAAGTAGGTTCACAAGTTGTCTAGATTGGTAATGACAAGTCATTCCTCAGTTGATTAGGTATGGTATCTAACTTATATAGAAGTTGTCAACACAAGTTAGTTCATAGGTTAGATTCAATTGATAAGAACAGGTAATGTGTTCGAATTTCGTTATCGATATGTTTCAAACCTTGCTATCAATGTAAAAATTATATTAGTGGACAATTTGCAGAAGTTTTTATAAGCAACCAATGTTTGCAGGATTATGTTAACAGGCGATCAGTAAGAATTCCTAAATGATTGTGGTTTGGAGGACATTTCTTGATCTGCGGTGATGACCAGAGTCCCATTGGTCGTCATTTCGGGTCGAATTCAAGTCATTCGATCTCATATTGGGTGATGAAACTAGAGATGGAGAGAGTACCAGGAATTTGACGATGAATTGACATATAACGTCTTCAAAACTAGTACCAAAATGCAATCATTTTGTAATCGGATAAAATATGGAAAATTTGTATTATATATTACATGATATCATCATCTTTGATGATGTGTGAACAACCAATTGGTACAAATCCTTCACATAATAGACTCCTTCGCACCAATTGAGGAACAGCCAATTACTACGCTGCGACATACCATAAGCGCGCCTATGTTGTTGAAATTCCTCTTTCTTTCTTTTTTTGGAGGGATATGTTGTTTAAATTCTTAAGCAGCATTTTCAAGAAAAGCACGTTTTTTTTTCTTATAATAGCGCCATAATGAGAGAACAAATGTAAAGTATAAACGGTACCTATGTATTAACTGTTAAGCAGAAACAAGTAAACGCTTTCGGCCTTTGCCATCCAATTTAGCACTTGCCACAAATATAAGAGGCATTGCTTTTGAGCTGATTATTCCATAACTAAACACAACTACGCACATAATTAGAGTATAATTGTGTTGTGCTTACGCCAAGCAAACAGACATGGTGGTATGATAGTATCCCATGAAATCTTTAACAAAATTGACACCTTAATTAATATTTATGACTAACTTATGAGTCGCAACAGATCTTCTGTCTCACTTCTTATTCCACTCTCTGTCCACATTTTATTATACCACATTTTATTATATTGCTATTATTGTTTCATAAACATCCTATTTTAATTTTTTTTTGTTACTTAAATTGATAACTACAAAAAATAAAAAATTACAATAGTCTAAAAAAATATATAATAGGAAATTAATTCCTCATGCTGCTTCGTACCCAAAAACGAAAAAGAGTAATGCTGCTAATTAGTCGACGCCCTTATTTTCTTTCTTTTTCTCCTTTCCCATCACAAATAAGAAGCCAAAAAAAGAAAATACCTAAAGAAAAAGTCTTTTATCTCAGGTATGCTCAATTTTATTTTAACGTGTTACGTGAAAAGCCGTCAACGTGGTAATGAATTAACAGTAACGGCGTTTAGATCTCAGCGCGGTAAAAAGTTCTGGCGCTAAGACTTGGCGCCAAAATCTTCCGCCATTACTCAAAAAACGTATTTTCCAGTGCTATAATACAACCGAGCCCCAACAAAACACGCACCAATTCACATAACGTTTCCTAGATCTCGCAATGGTGGTGGCTCTTGGTCCCGGAAAATTCTACGGCAGCAGCCTCCCAAGGCCAAGGTTCTACACAGACGTGAAACTGAACGACGAGAGGGTAGATCCACCGGTTCCAGTCATGGATCCGCTAATGTCGTGGGCTCAGGAGGCTCATTGGTCGATGGGTGGTCTGAGTTTCACGCGCCACCGCCTCCAAGGCAGGATTGAAGGGAACGTTAAGAAGCTCCGGGCTGAAAGAGAGAAGCTTTTTAAGAAAGCCCAGAAGGAGAAGGGGAGCGGTAGTCCGGTGACGCCGCCGGCTCCGGTGGCGGTGAAGCGGAGGAGGAGGATGTTGATGAGGAGGAGGAAGAGGAGGAGGAGGTGGTGGTGGAGGAGAAGAGGAGGGAACTTAGGAAGACGGCTAGGAAGTTGGGGGATGATTTTGACAGGGTGGCTAATGAGAAAAAGAGGAGTCCGGCTAGGGCTGGTGGTGGTGAGGCGGCAGGGAGAAAGAGAGGCCGGGTTGGCGAGGAGGAAGAAGGGGTCGGGATGAAATTAAAGGAAAGTTGAAGGGTAAGAAGGAAATTGGAAAAAAGAAGGGAGAGAAGAACATGGCTGTCGCTGCTAAAGGGACTAGAACTTCCCTAGGTTAGCAAAGAGAGGATGAATTTGACAATCAATGGCGTATTCTGCTGTTAATTTTAGGCTTATAGCTACCTATATACTTAAGAAGAGAGTTATGGTGTAATCTTGCACTAATCTTTTTCTGCTTTTAATTTTTCTTCTCTTGTTCTGGCCTTCTAATTTGTTGTGTATATTCTTCTTGATTATTAGAAAGTGAAAGATCCGGGGTTTTGGCTGTTCTAAAACCTCTTAGCATTTTCATGAAAATTTGCTTATGAATGTACTTTTGGGGCAGAAACCAGATTTCAAGCAACGCTGTAAGTATACTCAAACCCTTGTTTATAGAGCTTTGCCAAAGATCAATTTCATTTTCTCAAGTAACAAAGCATCCATTTGACAAGTGACTTGATTGATGACTTGAGACTGCAATGACACTAAGGATAAAAAGACTAGTAATTTCTAAACTGAACCGAACATAATAATACTACCATGGATTGGTGAAAATGCCAATTAATTTGAGGTTATTAACATAATACTATATATTGCTAGTGATAATATGCTAATTAATTTGAGATTAAACGTACGCGATTAGCAACTCTTACCAACCCCCCCCCCCCTTCTCTCCCACACATAAAAAAATACTACATGAGATCAAAGTCATAACGCAAATAATTGAGGAAAATAAAAGGAGTCTTGGGCTTCTTTTTAGACTGGATTTGGTGGGTGCGCCAGGCCGAAGGCAATAAGGCGATAAGCTGCTGAAATGGGTTCTTTCCCCTAGAAATATCGTAACAGACACTACACTTGATCTTAGCCGAAAACCAGAGAGGTACGCTCTTCAAGGCCCCAAAAAGATCCTTTTATAGCAAGGCACGCACTTGGATAGATCTAAGATTCTTTTATGATAAGATAAACATTAAGGTAGACTAGCTCTATGTAAATGGGATATGGGGCAGGGACGACATAAATTTAGACGACATGTTTACAAAATCAGATTTACCCAAACTTTTGCCTTGCAGTATGTTTCTGCAGTCCATAAGAGGAACCATGTGGGAAAAAGCACAAGGCAGCATGCCAACTCCATAACCCTCCTAGCATAGGGAGGTTTGTGATTCGGGTTCTTTGCATTCATCTTTGAGTGTCATGTTCAGACCATAAAACCAATTAACAACTTAGGCCCGTATGGATTAGGTATTTTTGAAAGTGTTGTTTAAAATTTTATTATAACGATATATGTAAAAAAATTACGATAGATGATTAAACATTTTTAGGGTATATTTTTTAGAATGTATTTTGAGATATTTTTAAAATTTAAGAAGGAGAGATTGCACAAGAGGAGGGGAGAGAAAGAGGAAGGAGGAGGAAGGGAAAGGAAATGGAGGAGAGAAGAGGAGGGAGAGGGCGGTGGCGGTGGAGGTGGAGGATGGAAGCGGTCATGGTGCTAGGTGGCGGCGTGCGGTGATGATAGATAGTGGATCGAAAAAGATGGATGTGGTTGATTTATTTTATTTTTTTTAGTTTATATTTGAGATTTGTATGAGTTATGTGCTTTTAGGAGTGTTTTGAGAGTTTGTTACTTTAACATTATATTTGAAAAATTTGTCGGTGAAAAATGGTAAATCCATGCAACCCTTAATTACAGCTTAAAAAGTGCATACCACTTGTTAAGGGATTGGATTTTCATTTGCTTTGATATAAACCATGAATAGGTTTTCCTAACCTATCTCACTATGTGAACCTTGAATTTGGACAGTTTCCTAAAATTATACTTTTGTGAAAAAATTAACACCTAAGACCCTCTTAACAATTGCATCGGATGATAATGATATTCATGATACATCAATATGAAGAAAATCAATAGAAGCTTATATTTGTTTCCTTTTTCACTTTTATACTAAAGGACAAATTTCATTCAAATACCATAAAATTTACATCACTTATTCACTGTAACAAAGATCCAGCTTTGGTATCTAGATTATGGTCACCCGAGACAAGCTGCATATTACTTTAGCAAAAGGAATTACAACAGCAAGGAAATAACTTTATCATAATGTCATGTCTCATGAAGCACTGGCCTAACAGCAGACTGGCCATTGGATTCTAAGACACCTGTAAGTTCTGCATATCTGCTAGCAATTGGGTTCAGTTTATTACAAATAATTCCTTGTGAATTGTGCCCATCTTTTGGAATATAAGCAAAGCACTGCTAAAGAACATGCTTTTGATGTAAGAATGAGTGATGCTGAGTTCTAGTTGGTCCAAGATTCCTACTTGTTAGTCTTTTCCTTTTTTTTTTCCCTAATGCAGGGGGTATCCATTTCCTGCGATGATGCAGAGCCCGTCCCAAAGATGCATTACACCATAATAGGAATTGAAACGTGACCTCTGGATAAGGACCCAATAATACTAACGGCCTGGGGGCTTCTACATGTTAATCATGAAAGCAAATGTTCTTGGTCAAGAATTGAAACATTTTTTTGACTTTTTCTGTCAATTTTCGTTTATATTTCTTCATAAGATAGATTAGAAAATGGTTTGTAAAGTTCAAAATATTGAGTAACATCAAAAAAAAAAAAAACCATTTGATTGATAAAATAAAGACAAAATTGTACTTATTAAGATACAGTGAGTCTTCAAGAAAGAGAGCAAGCTAATTCTCAAAACCAGTCAAATCACTACCCAAACGAAAAAGGGGGAATTTTTTCTTCTTCTTTTTTCCCAAAAACTGGTGATTCATAATAATTTTCCCAACCAAAAAGAAACAGCTAAAGAAACTTCAATTTTATCTGTCAAAAAAGGGGAAAAAAAAAAGAGCGAGTAGTTTACAATGACCATTGACCAATAGTGCAACCGACAATAAACCCGCCAATGTGAATGCACGCTTACCAATGACAAATCGCCATCTGTCAGGCTGTCACCATTCTTCATCCTTCTCCGCCAGCACTATGATCCTTGGGTTAGGGTTTCCACAATGGTACCATTCCTCAATGATTTTGTCTCTCCTTTAACATCGAAATTCTCAATAGATTTGGGGTTTATCTCAAATTGCAGATATCCCCAAATGGGTCTCTCTTAAAATCCCCAATTTCGGTGCCATTGTTTGGGAATTAGCAACAAACCTCAAAACCATGACCTAGGGTTTTGTATTCCAGTTCCCAGTTGTGGATCATCTTGCACACATTGATATCTTATTTTCTTCAATTCCTCCTTTTATTTAATAATTGTTGTATAAATAGCCATATTTTTCTTCGTTTTACGTATCAAATTCTCAAACATTCAGGTAGGCTGGTAATAATATATGATCCTGAACCCCCATTTGCATTCTCCTTAATTGGAGTTTTACCAAGATTGATTTTTGGGCTTCACTTTTTTCTTTTTCTTTTGTAGAATATTACAGCTTTAACTTGATTGAAGACTTGAGGTTTGAGCTGGAAATATAGTGGAAACTTGGGTTGAAAGATCGTGGGGTGGTAATTTGGCAAATGGCATCATCCGGATTCTTTATTATATGCACTTTACATTCAGTAATTGCTATAACTTGCGGTGCATTGATAATGTTCTATCTCAATGAAATATCTGCTTTTGGGCACGGTATTGAGACAGCTAAAAAGATGCTGGGATCAACTCCACATGATCAGTTGTTAATACAGATATCCAATTCATTTGCCGGGTTGCTTTTGTTTGTGATTGGATTTTTATTGTTAATGGTGGCTTTTGTCAAGGACAGGGACTTTCAGAGCTTTTTCGCTAAGGGGCTTATTCTCATTCATGTCTTGGTAGCACTCTGGAGAGTTTATTTTGAGAGAAAGCTTGAGGATTTAGCTCATGATTGGCCAAGGCAGCTGGTTGGTGACTTTGCTCTGGCACTCTCGTGGGTGTTCTTTCTTGTATACTCATGGAGAGAAAAGTATGATTAGACGAGTTGAGATGAACAATTATGTTCCTGATTGGCCGAATCACAAGATTTGCTTGGTAGCAGGTCAACCATTCTGAAAAGATTTCTATTGCGTTGCAGAGTAGCATTATGGTGCTTAATGGATCACAGCATACCACCTTTCTTAAAATGCCTGTTTTATTTGCTAAATAAAATGGTGGTTGAATTTTGAAGGGGAGTTTGTTGTCAGCATGAACCTTTGGTTAGCCTGTAATTTATCTCTGATGGAACCGATGTTGCTAGTTTGATTTTCTTTACTGTGTCTGATTTTTCAGAAATGTACTTAACCATAGCATTTGGAATAAATAGAATAGAAATTGATATATGAAGCTTTTATGTTATTTTATGACTTCCAAAAACTATTCTGGTTTTCTATATTGATATATCGGACTGTTAGAAATCATAAAATCCAGGGAAAATTAGTTTGGTCTTGGTAAAGAGATAGAAATATTTTTCTGGATGGTTTGATTTGTCCCTACCATTTGATAATCTGGATACTATTTTGTGATCTGGTCGTCATTCAAACTAATATTGCTATTTTAAGGAGTTGAATTTTGGTCATGGTGATTGAAACATCTGATTGAACAAATTCATGTCATGTTGATTGAAATATCTGATTGAAAGAATTACTTTGCAACAAACAAGGATGTATCACAAAGCTATCCTGACAGTGCAATTTTCTGCCTAGAAAGCAGATTATGTAGCTACTCTGTCCACTATGAGCCTCTCTATCATCAACTTGATTTTCACTAGATCTCAACTGTTGTGCCTCTATAGCTGCATAACTTTGTAGCGACCATCATGTGTGCAGCAGTGCACGCTAGAAGCTAGGACTTGGTTGAGCTTCAGTAGTAAGGGATGGAGACCATGCTATATATGGTTGCTGGCTTTCTCAAACATAATCTTAGTTTGTCTGCTCCTGTCAAGACATTGAGATGTTTGGCAGTAGCAAGCATGATAAACCAAATCTCTTTGCCAGAAGCGCTGTCCATTTTGATGTCTGACTTCTGCTTGGATCCGAATCTGAAATCCAATCAAGTTCAGAAAGCAATTCGATTTGGGAATAATTGGAAATATGAATCTGAAATCCACGTCTGTTTAGTGGAATTGCTATGGTGAACATGGATTCTCTGTGTTGTGCCTAGATGATTGCTTAGTGCTCCACAGAGAGGAGGAATAGTCATTAGTAGTTACTAGTGTATTCATCTAAACGGATGAGAAAGTTGAACTGTGTGACAAGCCTATCATATTTTCAGAAAAGTCTTGGCTCTAATTGCATGCTTTGAGTATGTATAAGAACTCCTGCCTTAGAATATAGTTTGATGTGCCACCTTTATGCAAAATCTCGTCCAATAATTGCTGCTAATTCTTGAAACTTCTGTTCTTGAGGATGTTAGCAAGTTAGCATTGTTGTCAAATGGTAACACCTTTTTGGCTCTCATTCTCAAGGATAAATTTGAATATACACCGCCACAGGTGTGAATTGAGGTCAGTTCTTGAGGCAGATTGGGGGGATGATGATATGCTAAACATTGTGCATTAATAACTTCCTCTTCGTTGTGGTATCTATGTGTGTCAGAAGTAGCCTGATGTTGTGTTCATTTCTGTTTTCGCTTTTGAGTTCTTTGCTCTTCATAACAATGACAATTCATTCTAGAATCTATAGATGAAGTTTCAGCGAGCATTATTATTAGCACATTATTTGGCAGTCTTGTTTTGCCTGAAATGAACGTAGAAGTCAAAAATATTGGGGCCACCGATTTGTTGTAGAGCCCAAAAGTCTCCGCTGATTGCAGAGTCTTGATTTCGGGTGGACAAAACAACCAAGTTTTCTTGTGTGATTTGGTAAATTGGTAAAGGGGTGCAGATCCAATTGTGGGTCATGATTGAGGGTTGGAACCAGCTCTTGCCTCAGGAGTCACTAAGGCAACTCCCCATCTTCGTTCTATGTAAGATGAGACTGCAAAAAGGTAGAGGTGGCAATTTGTCCCAAGTCCCAATGGGTTACCCATGCCCAAGGGGACTTTGGGCGGGATGGGTATTGGATTTTGATATTGGGTTTAAAATGGGACAAATCCCAATTGTACCCATTAATTGATGGGAATACTTGGGAAATACTTGGGTACCCATTGGGCTCAAATAACAAGGGCTCTGTTTGGTTTAGCTATTTTTAGGGGGTATTTTTGAAATATTTTATTATAGCAGTGTATATGAAAAATTTTTACTATAAAATTTTTTTGAAATATTTGATATACTAATATGGATGGGATGTTTTTTGAGTTATTGTATATTACTGTAACATTGTATTTGAAAAACTTATTTTTTGAAAAAATAGCCAATCCAAACGGAGTCTTAGATTAAAAAATTATCTTTAACAATTTTTATAGTCATACTAGAGAATATAATCTAGTAGTTTTTCTAGTCATTATCCACAAGAATTTTCAACATTTCAGTCAATTTAGACCTGTCATCTTTGGACAATGATGAGGATAAATATTCAACACCTTAAGTACCTTGGTCATCTTGATATATGTTGGAATATGACTGTATTTCTATTTTTTCCTTTATTTGTTAATCCAATTTTTTATGGGAATCCTGAGTATAAAGCACTTACATGTTTATTTAATAAAACAAAAAAAAATTTAATAAATCAAAAATATTAAAATTATATAAAAATAAAAATGAATTAAAGGAAAAAAATATGTAGAAAATAGATTTGGGTATTGGGCGGGATCAATCTAAACCCATCCCAAAGTGATCCCGCCCAAGTTAGTCCCAAAACACATATGGGTAAGGTTGGGCCCAAACCCATATGACTCGGTTCCATCACAAACCCAAGCAAATCCCGCCCATCCGCCCATTTTGCCACCTCTACAAAAAGGGTTATCAATTATATGAAGCGGTAGAGATCACAAATGACGTGGTAAAGATCATTAATTCTAATTGTTGATATTTATTGGGCTCTACTTACTCTTTAAAAAGTGGATCAACTACAACAGTACATCAAGCCCTGATTTCTTCCATAGAAAAGAAAAGAAAAGAAAAGAAAAGGCACCTTTTCAGCTTTATCCATGGATTTCATTAGTGGTTCCGCATATCATATGCATTTGACCGAAGAGATCATGGAACCATAAATTGCTCACCCCAAGTTTGTGACCAAAATCTCTTGAATGTGAGGCCTATACATGTGGAGGAAGATCAAAAGCTGTTGAACGTTTGGCTAAATTTGAAGTTGTTTTCTTCTTTTAAGAGAAGCATTTACCACTTCTTTGAATACATTTGTGCCCTGTTTCAGTAATTTTACTGACTTTCACTACATTTTGTCTATCACCAATCAATCATTTACCAGTTCGTTGAAGGACAGCATTAATGCCGCTCGGCGTGGACCACCAAGAGTAGATATCCCTCTTTCTTTTAAGAAGGACAAGAGTAGCAATACTAAGTCCCAGCACCAAGGAAAAAGAGAATACATTTCCTAGAAAGAGTAAAAGTCACACCAGATTCCATGACCATTCCAGTCCTGAACTTGCGTGTTAGATGGATCATACATGTGGTTTCTTCGCATTCCTAACCTAAGCAGGACGGCAACAATATACTCTTGACAGAACTTTGCTGAAGAAAAAAATTTCAAGTCTCCAACTGTCGATCCTGAGAAAGGAAGAAATGAATTTTCAATGACATGAATTTATTGATAGGACCCTTTCAGTGAAGTAACACTTCTATATATTTTCAAAAGAGTAAACTTTCCAACCGGCTCCTGAACTATTCAATTTGTGCGGCTTGGTCTCTCAACTATAAATTGTCGCAAAATAGCCTCTGAACAAAAGAAAAACTTAATTTAAGGATTTTCGTCAATTTTGGATGTCAAATGTAATGGAATTAGGGGCAAAACCAACCAAACAGAAAAACCAACGTATTATTTAATTAAAACCATTTATGTTAAGTCAACTAATAACACCGCGTTTAATTTTCTTTCTTTTTTTCATCTTCCATCTTCTCTAACCCTAATTTGATGAAAAAATCAGTCAACGGGGTCTTTTGGACTGTTTTCATGGGTTGATTTTTTTTGCTTGTTGGTTTTGTCCCTAATTCAGTCACCTTTAAAGACAAAAATTGACGAAAGTTCTTAAACTAAATTTTTTTGTTCAAGGATTTTTTTGTGATAATTTATAATTGAGGGTTAAAACCGTATAAAGGCAATAATTCAGAGGCTGTCCGGAAAGTTTCCTCTTTCCATAATAATTTAGCAAATGCACATTTCCTACTTTGCCACACAAGTGATCGGTTCTATAAGGTCACTAGGCATGTAGGCAATTCTAAGTTTGGTCAATTTTAATGGCACTTTCTTTGGCCTTTTAAATTTTATCATGTTAATTATACAAAAAATATTCTACCTTCAATTGAATTTACAATCACCCATCATTATTGTTTTTTTTTTCCTTTTACATGAGTACAAAAGTCAAAAATAAAGTGTCTTCAACAAATAAAGAAGAGTCTCTAACATTGCTCTTCTAGTATAACAATTTAAGTGACATTATGGGTTCTTGTAAAAACATTTGATTACAGTCATACTAACAAACAAGCTAGATAAAAATCAGATGGAGGGTTGGGTTGGGTAATAAAAGGGGAGAGAAATTGTAAGTTGGATTAGATCACATCGAGGAGGGGAGAAAAAGTGTAAATGAGACGGATTCGAAACCTCCTGCTTACAAAAAAAAACAAAAAGATGAAAATCAATGCAAGAGCCAATCCAAACTTATTCGAGATTGGATAAATTAAGAATAGATCAATGTTAGACATGAAAGTTTTAAAGTCAAAAAAAACCTAGACTGATTGAAGACATCAATTGTTTAATGTTTTTCTATCACTATTTGATCAAACCGGCCAAATGGAGCACCGACCAGAAAAATACATTTGATCTTTTTGGTCCATGGATAAACACTTACCTGAACCAAGGCCCGTGAACCTAATTTGGGTTTATCTCACTATTACTCCTTAATTTCCTTAATATAATTATTATAACTATTAATTTCTAAAACTAATTTAATATCTATAGAACCACAATATTAAGACTATACATGACCCAATAACAATTCATTAAAAAGTATATAAACCAAGAATTTTTCAATAATAATAATGTATTCCAATTAATTCAAAGTACATAAAAAATATTAATAAAATATTGTCAAAAGTCAATACATTTTCAAATGTTCTCAATTTACTCGTACGATTTGTCATTCTGAATCTTTTGATATAATTTTGTATATTTAATATTTCTTATATACATATGCAGACTAAATGGTCGGGTTAATATTAGGTTTGAGTTTAATAGGTCCAAACTCAACTTACATTTAATTTG